CATTAAATAAAAAATTGGATAAATTATGGAACGAAAAGTTATAAGACAAGGGGATACATACGTACAACGTTATGTTGACCTAAAACACAATTGCTATAGAATTGCTACTCTGACGAATATGAAAGCAGCCAGACTGCTTGAAAACAAAATTTTTCATTGTATAGATAATATAGAGTTCATCAGATTCATCATATGGCTAGTTAAGTGAAATAATTACATATAGATCCGTCATTATTTCCAGTATAAAATTTAACAAGTTTTTGTGGTTGGTTATGCCGAATAATTTTTGCTATCAAGACACCAAATATTTGCCCCTTGAGACATGAGCGATGTGTGTATTGCCATACCCGTCATTCAAGTATGGTCGAGATTGACACAACCCCAAAAGTTAATTATTGTTTGTTACAGAAATATCTCAAATTTAAATGATTTCCTTTATAGAGCCAACCAAAGTGTCAAAACGCACGTCATACCTAACTTGAAAATTCGAGTCGGATATACGTCACAAAAGATTGTAATAAGAATCTCGCTTCAACGATTTTCAATGTTTTGACCAACAATCGAGAACTACGTCTAAAATATAACAATGACGAAATTCAATGGCTTCGACTACATATCGGAGAAAGAAAATTTAATTTTAAATGTGGAAGTAGCTGGCGAAAAAGAATTAATTTTGATTTGAAAATTTTGACACTCAGGAGCTGGTATTCTTTGCTGTTAAAACAATTTACCATGAATGTTATTTCACTAATCTATGTTGAAAACCTTGAGTTTTTCATGAATCCTATTTCATCATTTTTCTGTAATCTTTCGCCCTGAATGTTATTTTTTCTTCCACTTAGCAGTTATCATCGAATCATATTCAGCTATAACAGTCATACTCTCTACATATATGCTCAAAAAAGACTACTACCCTTATTTACTGTATCAGCTAAACTAAATCATCCCGTACGTATTAGCGAACGATCAAGGTAAAAAGTAAAGTCAATTTAAGATCATAATGAGTAATTCAAGCTGGTATATATAAAACAACATATTAAACTCTCACTGTGGGATATCTGAACGCACGGTTTTGAATACTTTAAACCCGAAACAAACAATAAGTAAAATTGTTGCTTACATTCATACAAAATAAACCTTGATGCATTTTTTAAATCGATACATAAAGCGTTTAGAAACCGCCTGAGCCTTCTATCTTCACCTATTATGCATTCGTCGAAAGTACTGCGCAATCTATTACATGCCAGCATAGCTATGAAGCTATCTGATTATCCATCATTCTGCTATGCTACTCAAGACAGCCAATGCACGCGTACCGTAACATTTTATTGCGTAATACAACTACTTCTGCACCTGGCTAACATACCTCATTTTTATTACTTATTGCCATTAGGAATGCCTGTAGCTTCAGTGAAATGAATTTCATTGTAAGAAAGCATTTCATGTATCACAATACACACGCCTGGGCTAAGCTTGGTCTACTGATTGGCTTTTGCTGGGATTCATTTATGAGAAAGGGTAGGAATTCAGATATTCTTATGTTCTTGGTACGACAAGAAACTATTCTCAACCAGGCGTTGCTGGGCAATAAAATTTATTATTCTCAAAAACTTGACAATTTGGTTTTCTGAGCACTGCTCACCAGAGAAATTACTATTATAGTATAATTCCTCAGAAATTTACTATTGAAAATCAAAATTAAAACTGAGAATATATAATTTATTCCCTATTATTCACGGCTTATTGACGTCTAAACACAGCCTGGTAAAACGACATTAACAATTCCCTACTGAGTGTTTAGGGTTTATATAATATAATAGGATAAACAACACACAACAGATGTTTTTGTTTCCCTTCGATCGCTTTCCCTTTGATAAGCTCAATTAGCTTGTCTGTTTATTTCATTTCACAAAACCAATATCATTGAGGGAGAAGAAACGGAATCTCTTGAGTACACAATATGTTGATTTTGTTTACACGATCGCCAAGTTGTTTCTTTATTGCCTGCCACCCTCAAATTGATAAATCTGAGCTGTATTCATATTAAATTAATATGGAGGATTAAAACCACGATGGACGTATGTAATAACTTGTATCTAGGCCTGAGTGACAAATACACTATTGTAATATTATGGACTAACAAAAATTTTATTTTTTTAGGAAAACAAAAATTAATTCAAAATGTATACAATTATTATGTTATGGTCAATGAGCGTAATAAATTTGAAACATGTCATAAATATTGCATTTCACCGCACCTACAACTAACCAAAACGCCGACCTCTTATCTGATATTGTCTATTGTAAACATAAACATTATTAATAACCTCAACATGAACCGCATTGAACAGGATGTCGCATCGCATTTTGATGTTGCCACATTATTTCTACTATTTTGCATGCCTGAGGGACGTTTTGACCTTTTTTCGACGGAGATTTATCTCTTTTCATGCTAACTAAAAATTCAAGCTTCTTATTCTAGATTGCCAATAAATCTTGTTTCATAATTTATCCTTAGTATAATAATTACCTTGTCATATTAGGTCGAGATTTAAATATCACTAAATTCAGATAGAGACTAGCGCGTCGAAATCGGGAAATCAAAGCTACATGGGAAGTTGTCAATTTGCTTGAAAAAGTTTGAATGTATTATAGATGAACAACAGACATGCTTCGCTAAATGAATGGTACTTCTAGGTGCGAGACCATGCTGAAACCAAAACTAGGGGCATGATCCTGATCTATTTCAACGATACTGTGGTTTGAAACCTTTCAACAAATAATTTAAAAACGAAAACTAAACACGTCTAAATATCAAAACTTGCGGTTGTTTAGAATTTAGATAGCTCGTTTTTTGAAAAATTTACCCGTGTTTCAAGTATTAATTCAATTCTGCTCATTATCATATCATATCCCCCCACTATGGCTTGTTTGTCAAGCATTTTTTTGTTTTCTCAACTATTTCATTTTCAATAACACCCAAACATAACCACGTCAACCCTAAAATAATCAGTCACCACCCTGAACGCTCGACAAACCTCAAAGTTTTTACAGCAACTGTTGGCATATCCAAACGCTACAAATGAAACTAATCCAAATAAAAAGTCTACAATAATAGCTTGAAACGGAGTAAAAGTAGCACTGGATCACTTGTCTACCAAAACACTCGACTGGTTCAAGTCGTAAGTGGAAAAAGGGCCACCGGCAGCAATCCCAAATAGAATCTTAAGTTAATTAGTGCTTTTGAATTGAGCGTATCTAACCGAAGTACGTTACGTTCTGCCACTTAAAAAAAGATTTGCGCAATGGCTTTGTCGTGGTCACTATACTGTTATAAAAATAGTTTATTTGACATAAAAAATCGTATTCGTAATATTTCAAGTCCATGTCATTTGGACATTATATAAATCATAGGGAAGCCCTATACCTCGGACAAATATATTGTAATTGCACGAGAAATTGGGAATTGCCCTGCGAGTTTATAATTTCTATTGAGTAAAATATTATTTTTGTCATATTCACTCGAAATACATTTTATCATTGGCCAAGCATTCAACCAAATATAAATAGTCATGGCCCATGCTTGTCCAGGATATTAAATTTAGGAGGTTCAAAAATGACACCTCCATAGCAACCATATAATTATCCTTTGCACAGGGATAATTATTAACGTCATAATAGCCTTTTGTGATCGCGTATGACGAAAATAGCCGTACATACAAAGTAGAAATATATTTCATACCTAAAAACTTGTAGGTAGACGTTAAATTGACCGAATAATGGCAGATATATTGGTTCTAGCCTTGACCAGCATATTATTCAGACCAAAGTGTGAATAAGTGTGCAATAACAAAACGCATTGACTTCGGTTTTCCCAAATTTCAATGCGTTCTAATGACGACGACTACTTAGTGAATATAGCTACATACGTACTAATTAAGGTATCATACTACAATTGCCTGAAAAATCACAACTTGTGGAAGCTGTTTGTGATGTCATGAGATGCCCGCAGAAAATATTCATATTTGATTTTCTATCTACAACTCATGTACACTTGTTTTCGATCTACTAAAATTCCTTATCGATACTTGCTCATAACACTAGGTAAAAAATATCCCCATCGCCATACGCCTCCATCGCGATCTTAAACGGAATTATGATGTCACAATTTAGTTGTTTGAAATTTTTTTAAATTCTACTAGTAGCCATTCTTTATTGCAATCTTAAATACCTTACTCCGTATCCAGTTAAGTGAAACCATAACCACGAAACCTCACTGTTTTCGATCACACGCTTTACGCTTTCTCGTCTTTCATAACCCATCAATTCGTATTTGTACACAGGATATTAGCTGCTGTATCGAAAATCATGGTTTGCACTAATTACCGGATTTCGATTCACTCACCGGTGGAATGTTATTTAAAATCAAATACCTATGTATCTGTGGTGTTGGATTGTGCTAAACAGGGAGAACGCAGGTGTGGTTACCCATTGATTGAAAAACTTTTTGACAGGTGTGGCGTTTAACGCTTTAGCTAATGTATCGAAAATGTTTCAAACTTCAAAAGAGCGAGGGACGTTTTGCCCAGTACTATATGTATATGCGATCCGAAGTACCAAATAAAATAAAGTAAAAAATAATATATAATATAAGCAACTGTATTTCAAAAAACCTTACACTTAATGTGATTATAGTCTCGTTTTGGGAATATTCATGAAATATATTAATTATTGTAGAGTCCTCAGCCCTCATTTGTGTTTATGTAGTTAGGGAACCTACTAGTTTTGCTTGATTGCATTTGTAAATTTTTTTCATATATATTTTTCGTCAAATTGAGCTATCTCGTGAATTCTTTGCTCATCTTTTCTCAATCAATTTTGTAAGTATTGTGATTTTTCTATCGGTGTAATGTTCTTTGATATGTTTCAAAAGGTCATGTCATGTATTGCCGAGTAATTTTATTACTTTAAATTCCAAAGTAAATCAAAGGCAACCAAACCTCCATTTATTAGCTGTCGTATTGTCGCTTTCACACTGTCGGAAATTTCAAATTTTTCTCTCATCTTGGGTAAGATATCTTTCACGGTATCGTTGCTTGTCAGCGACATCAAATGGCTGATTTCTTCATTGTCAGTGATTCCTTTGTAGTGGAAAATGAGGGCGCCAGAGAATGAAAGATTCTGAAAAAAATGCAACTCCGTTGTAGGAACAAATTGGAATAAAATATATATGGATATTTCTGTTGAAAATAAATTGCAATCTTCTCATGTGAAGCTGTTCCATGGTGCCATGGTACTAAACGATAGATTATATAAATTCAAACTTGTTTCATCAGAGTTATGTAATTTCTAATATTGAAACCATTAGCCACTTTTTCCATGAATTTATAGTTGTTCAACAGTTTGGGGGATCTCTGATCATGTGGATATAATCAAAAACAAGAGTAAATTTTAACTTTTTTAAAAGAGATTGTTGAGATATGCTAACTATGTTAATAACATGTTTTGTAATTGTATCTGGTTTTATCTATAACGTTGTAAGATACAAAAAAAGAAAGTCCTGTTCAATGTTTTACCCCATATCTGAATAAAGTGAAGGGAATTGAACGGTTCATTGCATACAAAAATGGCAAAATAAAGTGGAAACTTTTAAGATATGACCAATGAATAAATATTTTTATATAATTAGGTATGCGTATATTTTATGATCAGTGATTAATAATGCTGTAACTGCACCGATTAAATGTGTTTTATACATAAATAAATATAAAATAACGGGCAATAAGCGAAAAAGAAGAAATATTCCCTGTAGTAAAAGGTAAAAAACACAAGTAGAAACAAACAATGTTTTATAATTATTAGGGATGGGCCGGGATTCGGATCCGGACTCGGATTCGAGTCGAATCCAGGCATTTTTTGGACTCGGATTCGATTTCGAGTCCACGTCGTTTTTACCGAGTCCATAATCAATTCTGTTTTTACTAATTTACGCCTATGTTTGTACTTTTACCTCTTTAAATCCCACTACATACCTTAACTAGTAAAATTCAAAGTTAGCTCTGTAACAATATCCCTCGTGTGCATTATAAACACTCCTAATAAAACGACGACAGATATCCAGATAATATAACGCAAGTTAAAAACTATTGATCGCTTATAACAATGATGTTGCGCCAGTCGCCTTCAAACTATCTATTCTTTTCGGTATACATGTGGTACACAATAAAATATGTGTTAGCGCAATATTTTTGAGTTTTAGATTCGCGTAAAAATGAAACATGCCCTGAATCAACCCAATGGTGAATCTCATCAATACCTCTTTTAAATCGGGTTTACTACGTGCAATCCTTTTGCTAAAAAGGCAATGGAAAGCATGGAGAGTTTTAGAACGTTTAGATGAACTATTAAATTGCATGCGAATGTACCACAATGTATTGACGACGAGTGGCATTTCTCTACCATATGCGCACGTGACATAGTAAATTCACGGCTAGAAATATCTGGAATTATGGGAAAGCATTGTAGTCAAAAGATTTTTCATTTTTCATATTAACATGTAAGAATATCTGAATAGCCGACCAGAATTGACGCAAGGTGGTGGGCTGGAAATCCAGTTCACAGCCAAGGCGCACATTGGCCCACGTTTACGTTTGTATCATGGCCGCCAAAAAGAGAAAAAGATATTATTAAAATGATTCAACAGCTATCTGCGGAACCATCAGGCAAAAAATATGAGCTACGACGTATATTTGTGAGCGCACGATGCTGTAGCATGGTCAAAAACGTGTTTTTCTGCTTTTCTATTATGACGTCACGGACTCGGCAGATTCGATTCGAGTCCTTGACCTATTACTCGGATTCGTCGAATCTCTGTAATGCCGGACTCGTCCCATCCCTAATAATTATAACTTACCTCGTCCATAGATACTCGAAGAGCTCCTCTATTGATCCGTTGGTTATACTTTTCTATTTTTGATTTCATTTGATATTTTCTTTCTTCTTCGTCGTCATCTATAGGTAATGATTCCCTGTAACAAAACACGAATTTCAATTCTATTAGCACAATGAAGACAAAATGATGAAATTTATGAATTTTGAATTATTTTAATTCATTGGCTGTTTATTTTGCAGTTTTCTGCCTGGGACACAAATCAAAATTACTGTCAAACCAAAACATGCGTCTCCGAGTATACGTCTGAGATGAACTGTTTTTCAAATTTTTTTCAGCGAAAAGATGTTTGTAACTGAATAAAAAAGAGTGCTGTCAGCGCCGTTCTTAGTTTTAGCGTGGGAAATAGGGCTCCAAATTACCAATATGTATGTACCAGTTGTTTCCATAATTTATCAGCCTAGTAGCCTAAATTAACTTTTATGACGTATAATTTTGTATTCTTGGAGAGGTCAGCTCAAAATGACTTGAAAAATACTTAATCAATACAAATTCAAGCACGAACTTGATTCAATTTTTTACAATATAAGGTCGTGTTAAATTTAGTAAACTTTGAGCCGTTTACATTTGGTATTTTAATATTCCGAGGCACCGTAATAATTAATTTCCAGGTATTAGGATCGCTTGTCCGGAGAAAAAGGCCTTACGACTAGAAAGTCGTACCTAAAACCCGGGACGGCATATACCATTCGTCTGCTTCAGAATTTAAAATATGGATTTAAAACTTACACCGCAAACTTGGTGTGTTCCCCGTTTCGAATTTTTCTAGGCAGAAATTTAAACATATTGAAGCGTCTGTACTAGGACTGATTGAATATCGCGAAACGAAATTTTTTCGGTAGCTTTTCAAACGAAGATATAAAGCTGAATGTCGAAATTTATCAGCGGCATGTAAGAGTAGGTGGCAGTACTTCGCTTTCAGTAAAAGCGAAGCATGGTCCGATCGTGAAATATTCCACACGATAATTGAATCCCCTCACATCGCATTTGCGGAGACATTTCAAGGCTTGGAAATGCATCAACGTTAAATCATTCTTTTCGGAATGAAACCAGTTTAGTAGCACATGATCGTTTTCTGGAAAATTTATCAAGCTTACAAAGCTTTCCTTTGTCATGCCCATGGGATACTGAATACCGACAAGAACAAGTCACGGTTTCGCTTGTGTACAGAAACGGAAAGGATCAAAGAAAACCATTTTGTTCGCTAAACAAACTTTTGGTAAGCAACGAATAACTCAGTATGGCATAGGAATCAGGTATGGCTTTTGACCGATTCGAATTACCATTTTTTATGATGTCTCATATGTAAAATAGAATATATACAAAACTTCTTTACTTTTTGGTTGCCCTGTCATGCAATCTTCGTAGATGACTGAGGACAACAGGATTTGTCAAAACAATATTTGGAATTGATGAATTCTTCAAGTCTTCTGGTGACAGCTGTGTTATTTGAGATGGTTCTCGTGTTCTTTCTTTCTAAAAATAAGTTGAATTTATAATCTGTTTTCAAAAATAAATAAAACACAATACGGTCAATTTGTGATTTCTGAATTGAAGTTTAATATTTTATTGAGAGTGACAAAAATGACATAGAAGTTATTGATTCAGCTAAGTTAAGGATATAAAATACCAATGCGGAGTAAAATGTAATTATCATATTATAGAAAAGCAGTTCATTGCTTGTTTCATATAGCTGATGCTGTCAAATGAGTAGAATCCCGATCTCCCAGACTAAACCGGGTAGCTTCCCGATTCCCTCGTATGAATGAAAGTATTAAATTTTTCATCATTCATAATCGAATGACATTAGAAGGTGAAAACACACGTTTTCACGAAGGGCAAGAAATTTCAATTTTACGCTATTTAATTAGTTCACACAGTTTTATTGACAAAAAAAAGCTCTTACACGAGTTGAGGCTAGTTCTCCAGTTAACAAATCTTCATCACTCGCATAACTTTTTAGTCTTGCATCAGTTGAACTAAGTCTTGATGAGTCTGCTATATCCATTATTAATCGTTTTTTACATTTTCATTCCAATTATTTGTTTCTTTGTCACTAGGCATCAAGAAGTTTACATATAAATTAGGAGAATGCAAAAAAATTATTCTACTGATACAAACTGAAATGATGACACCTATTTAGATAAACCCAAATTCAAAGATATGCATTTTGAATTCATTTATCCCCATTTTCTGTGAATTTTGTTCTCTGCTATTCTCCCGTAAACATCACTTATGTGAGACCTATTTCCTTACCTTTACAGGACAAATCATTCGATATCATATATAATATTCATCAATATGCAAATCAATCAATTCGCAAAAATACTTCCATTTAGCGAATTCGAATAATCATTACTGAAATGAAGTCATAAAAAATCGTGAATGCGTTTGCTATTCATTACACCCCAAGCTAAATTGTACACCATCATGTATTTTGACTTCTTCTCTACAGGCATATCGTAAACGCAAGATTTTGGATTTATTCACTGCGTCATCTTGTTATTGTTAAATTAGCTAGAGCTGTTAAATTCATCAAAACTTTTCAACATGTATGTTGTAGTCCGATTTTTCTGCATTCTAACAGATCGCCATCATTTGTACTATGCAGTACTTTCATAAACACTCTCTTGATTCATACATTAGATTCGCAGTCTTTCAGCTACATAAAGAAACGCGTTAGAACTACCTTAGTTTACAAAATCTTTTTCAAAAATATATTCAGCAGAATAAACTGAAAAATAGACGTTTGCCTCACGTCAAACAACTTAGCTAGAAATTGCTTAGCAGTCGAATGAAACTGGCTTCTGCAAACAACTTGGACTTTGTCGATCGACAGATCTTTTCAGAGACGTGATTTCACACATTGTTAAATATTTGCTAACTAATAATGGGTATGAATGAACGGCTTTTCGCAAATGTTATCTCATCTGATGCCTTTTTGATATTAACACCGTATACCTAATTCATCTTTACCCGTGCCTGACTGAAACAAACTTACCTTGAGTTTTGAAATTTGAGTATGAATTAGGTTAGGTCTGTTTAAAAACAAGATTATTCCTGCATATTAATAAATATGTGGCTAAAGTCTATTATCTCACCATTAACAAAACAATTTTATGAATGGAAAACGTCATATTCCCCAAACAAAAATATTCGGCCATATTTTGATTTCTAGTTATGAACCAAAAATATTTACATTCATAACTAATATTTTATGTGCTCTATAACGACGCCTGTTTGCATTAGAATGACGTCATACAAAAAGTTTTGAAGAGTAGAAATGAAATTATAGTATATATAACAAAGCAAAAAATAGCTGGTTTCTTCATCTCCGTCTCTTAATTTGAATAGTAAATGGACAACAGCATCTCTTGTTTTCATTAACTAAAATAGTTTGTTCGGTTAATAGTGGTTGGAACAATCTCTAAGTACAATTTTAATTCCTCTCTTCCGTAATTTTAATAAAATTTGATGCATTCAAACAAGTAATTCTATAGCGAAAACCTTGTAACTCCCCAATTTATTAAATCTTTTTTAGAATCGATGTCATGATTTTCCAAATGTTCATCACTTCCACAAAGCACTAATCATGAAAACAATATTTGTATCTATGGTATTTCAGTCACATGTTTGCTGTTGAATGAGAATTTTATATAATCACCGGGCTCTTGCCTTGTCAAGAATTTTTTTTAAATTCGCTAAGATTACAAAAAGAAACTTATCAATACCCAAATTAACTTTCACCACGTAGTCCTCATAAAAATGATATATATAGATGCGCTAGTTTTCACGGTACCGGTACACACTATTTGCCGAACATTAAATCCGAACTAACTAACTAATCACTACGTTTGATGACACTATGTAAAAAGTTGTTTAAATACTCAAACAACGTTGAATTTGCAAGATGTTTACTAGACTAGCTTATATTGTTTATGTTTCATTTGCTCATGATCTAACAATACCTTGTCGTCAAGTATTGGCCATGTCATTCAACTGGCGCCAAGACATTTCTTTGCTGTTGTTTTGATTTTATTGGTAAATCAAACTAAATGCTGGTAACTGTTAGATATTCAAAATTATTTTGGAATCGCATTTTAATGACGTCATCTGGGTTTTTTATTGTCAAGAAATGGATATTTTATTTGTCCGTGATTATCAGTGATAAATATTAGGGCTGGGAATTTCAGGGAAAACACTTTAACCGTGAACCGGGTAAAATTAACCGGTTAACCGCCGCGTGACGTTTGACGTAATAATTTATAATTTCAGCTTGTTACGTCACAATGCTTATAAAGCAATTTCGCGTGTTCTTATCCCGGTATCGCTTATAAAAATTATTCACGAATCGAGATAGTTTCCTGATTGCTCTGCTTCAAGAGATATGCAGCGTGGTTCGGGCGTGTTGAAGTATTTTAGAAAACCTGAGTCCGTTGTTAAACGTCATTTATGTGACAATTTATCAGTGTCGATGTGCAAATTTTACTTCGAGATATATATCATGAAGAAAAACGACATCAACTGCGCACTTGTTGTATGACATTGAATATTCGATTTTGCAATGAAATCGTTAACAATATATTTCGAAATCGACCGAAAACTGATTCTGAATTCATCATTGTCAAATTTCCATAATCAGCAATCTTGGTACTTCCAATATTTTTCACATTTATTGAGTCCTTACCCACACAGTTAGTAATATTCTTTTGAATTAAATGCCACAAGAGATAAATTTGCGTTGACGTAATCATATTTGAAGAAATTGTACGGTATGAAGATGATTTGTACCTGAGATGTCAGTTAACGGTTAAAATAAATCGTAACCGTTAACCATCTGAAATCGCCCTAGACTGATTCTATTTGTTTGTATTTTTGTCGTCTGCAGTAAATATTTTACAACAGGTATTATGTTCGAATGTATGTATATACTGTTTTCGAAATTCATCTCTCTGTCATGTCAAAACAATTTTCAAAAACTTCTCCAATGCCCAAAATATGGCCGTTGCGAGTCCATCTCATTGTATATTGTTTCTTGGTCTGATGGAAGCGTATTCGAAATCTCCATTAAATAAATAAGCATAAATAAGCAAAAAATGTGACGTACTAATTAATTATAATTAGCATGAAGTTTTGACACAGTTTATGCGTTGAGTTTAAAAGCCGAATGGTCCTCTGGTATGTTAGTATCAACTACACATAGTATCTATCTAACCGCTGCACAATATCTTGCTGAACTCGATCTGTTTTTAAGAAAATCTTAGACTTCAGTCGGTGTATCGTGTTCTGTCAGCAATCCCGTCATCGATAATTTGAAGCCACTTGTTTGTGGTCTTAAAATTATTCTTATACTTGAAATCATTTGCATTTTATCTATTGCTTAACAGCTCCGCTTCGTGTACTTCTGTGCTGTTGTCTTTACCTCAAACTTGATGCATTGCTATCTACCTTCCAACGCAATGTTACTTTGTTAGGATTCTGGAATTTCGCACTGCATAAAAATCTACTAAGTGTACTAGCATTTTAAGGTATTAAAACAGGATGTGGTCAAAAGATAACAGGAATAGGCCAGTTGTATTAACGTGGCTCTTTAATAGTACGATTGTGTTTATTTTTGTCACTTGTTCCCTGCTATCCATCTATGTATATATGTATGGCTACTATTGAAATAAGAGTCGTACAGCTGACATCCTGTTTTGAAAGTAAAATGGATTATCCAGCTCGCTATCAATACATTGGTATGTCTACGAACATTTTTCCAAAATCTTTGGCTTCAAATGGCATTGTCGTGAATGAGCGATGTGATTGCAATGTTTCTGGTATGCCAAACTGTCGTCGTTTCAATAGGACGTTCGCAGTTTGGCATGTTTGCTAATGTGAATCAAGAACTACAGGTTCCAAAACTTGTATATTTGGTCGGTTGAGTGAGTTTATTTGATTTATATGGAGCGCTGTCGGGTAATTTTTCTATTCAAGAAATGTCTTTACTTTTTGATAGATGTTTGTTATTCATTGTAGTACTATTAGCGCTAATTTTACTTCATTCGTCGTATATGAAAGTTTCTGATTTTCAGCGAAATTTCTCTCTAGTTTTTTCTCTACAAATATTATACGCTTTGTGGAATTCTCTTTTCTTCCTACAAACCTCATATCAACAGCTTTTTTCACAATACTATACATGTATATACGAATACCGGGCGTCAGTAATCACTCGCGAATCTTATACCAGCGATCCTTCTATTTTTGTTTATGTAATTCATTCTTTGCTTTGAGCATACAATTGAGTTACGACGAAATGTCCAATTTGTGTTGAATCAACTATCTGTTGAGGTCCGAGCTGTCCAAAATTGCATTTCTGTCCTACAGTCAAAAGAATGCAATCTGGTTGAAATTGTCACAGATTTCTTGTTTTGCTGTGGTTCGTTGGATAAGAAGAAATTATATTCCGGATTAGTTATTTATTGAAAAACAGCAACACCAACCCGACCTCGCGCATAGCGGATGAGTGAGAATGAGTATATTTTTCTTTGCACATGGTGTGTGAGTCGAGTCCCAAAGTGTAAATCTATATTCGGATGTTCATACAATGGTTAGACCCAGCGAAAATAGAATTGGAATGAGGATCTTCATATTAAATGTGAAAGCATAAAAATATATTACAACATGAAATGGACACTAATCTAGACCTGTGACATTTATATCACATAATGTATGAATCTCAGATCGGTATCCAATTTTGGAAGCTGATATTGTTAAAATTTCTCAAAATTATTTGTCGAAAACATCCCACTACTCGCACAGTTTGCGATGCCTCTAGTTATTCCATCATATCAATCAATATTATAAATGCGCATAGTCATAATACACGTTACAAAAACACAATTCTGAAGACATTATACTGAAACAAGGAGCTCAAAGCCATGATACCAATAATTTATATCTTCATCAAAATTCAAAACATTTAATTTAAAATTTTTTTAAAATATTGGGGTTCAAAAGATATTTCAAATATATATTTGTTACGGTTGGATAGGTTTGTTGCGTAGTAAATTCAAATTTATTCGACCCAAAAGGTTGGGAGCTTTTCATGCTATATATCTGA